CGCGCCTTCTTGGAAGGCTCCGAGAGCCTCCGGCATTCCGAGAAGTGTTCTGAGCCCTCTCCGAAGACAGCGACGGCTTCTCAGGAGGCCGGGGGGCCTCTGAGAAGCCCGGCCGCCTTCTGAGAAGGCCTGCCACCTCTGCGTTCCCCCTCGGCCCTGCCGCCCATCTAGGATGAAGTCGGGCGTGTCCCTCTACAGAAGGAATATTCAAAAATGGTAAACAACTAATGAGGGGACGATGTTTGAGTCTTTTTGAGCATATGTTAAGTATCTGTTCGTCCAGAATCCGCTTGTAGGAGGACACGCCCGACCCAAATCTACTTCGGGTTCCTTAATAAGCGTGGGGGGGGGTACCCCCCCGACGGGGGTCAACCTCGCCTCGTCGTCGCGCCGCGATGGGGGTCGGAGCGCCTTCGGCGCGCGGTGGCTGCCCGCGACGGGGGTCGACGTGGGGCTGCCGGCGGGGGGTGACGCCCCCCCCCCGACGCTTGTGAAGAAACCCGGAGTGGGAATCTCGCTCCCCGAGTTCACGCTTGTTCAGAAACTCGGAGCAGGAATTCGCAAATTGGAAAATAAACATTACCAGTGGCGGGTTGTTTTTCAATCCCACGACTTTTCGAGGGTCGGGGACGACGTCGGGGTGGTGTGGTGTATGCTTTTCCCCCGTTTTCCAAGGAAAACAGCGAAACATGTATACACCAGGATCCCGTATACACCAGAATCCGCGTTCCCGTGCGAATTTCGGCGCAGGGCCGGGAAAAGCGTCGGTGTGTATACACACATATATATATATATAATATATATATATATATAATATATATACATATATATATATATATATATATATATCGAGAGAGAGAGAGAGAGTTCCCCTAGGAATCTCCTTCCCCGAGTTCATGGACGCGAAGGCGAAGCTGGAGGGCGGCGAGGCCAGCAGGCTGGTGGGCAGCGGGAGCCTGCCGCAGCTGACCCTGCCCGACGGCCAGGCTCCCTGCGCGGCCCCCGCTCCCCGGGCGCCTCGCGGCGGCGAGCTCCGAAGTCTGCGGTTCGGTCGGGCAGGTCCTCCTGCAGGGAGATCGTGGACGAAGAATACAACACAGTCAAAACAGATCCTCGGATGCAACTCCTGGGAGGTGAAATTCTGATGTAGCCCTGGTCCGAAATCCGGTTTGTTCCGACTGAATCCCGCTGAATCCGGCTTAATCCCGCTAAATCCCGTTCAATCCGGTGTAATCCTGCTTAGTCCGAGGCCATTCCGGCGTAACAGCTCCCAACTAGGGCTTAATCCTTTTTAGTTTTTCCGACGAAAACCTCCCAGGTGTTGCCTCCTAACATATCCAAACATACCCAAACATAGTTTAAACAATTATCCCCGGGTTATGATTGGACTATCTTTGGATATTCCTCCCGTAGAGGGACAGGCCCGACTTGAGCATAGTGTGAGGAGCAACAGAGAATTACATGAACACTACTTCTCGAAGGTCCGCGCGGATCTCTTCGATCGGCGCTGAACCAGGGGCGGGGCCAGAGGCGCCGAACCAGGGGGCCCGCCCAACAGCCGAGCCGAGAAATCCGCGCGGACCTCCGAAAGTTTATGTTTATGCCATTTGTTGTTCCCCGGCTACCCTCGCCGATCAACGGTTCAGGCAACCCGATGGGCGGCGGGAATGCGGGTCGGAATGCGTCGAGCACGTGGCGGAATCTTCCCATGGATTCAGGAGAATCGATGGTTGGTTGGGGTGGGGTTCGGATGTCGCTACCTATTACACCTGCTCCTGCTACTGCTCCTGCTCCTGCGCCTGTTCCTGCTCCTGCTCCTGCTCCGGTTCCTGCTCCTGCTCCTGCTCCTGCTGCTCCTCCTGCTCCTCCTCCTGCTCCTCCTCCTCCTCCTCCTCCTCCTCCTCCTCCTCCTCCCTCTCCCCCTCTTCCTCCCCCTGGCACCGTCCAGCCTCTGCCTCGCTCTTCCTCCCCCGACCCCCAATTCGCCATGGGAGGTGCTTTTCGACTGCCGTTCAGTCTTCGGCTTCTGGGGGCTCAGCTCTCGCTGGGCCCCTGGGCCGTCAGACAATGGCTCGGGATGAAGAGCCAGACCCAGGTAGTGGGTCGAGACATCCGGGTGTCCCCGTCGTGAGCAAGAAGCGCGATGTTGGGGATCCTCTGGGTACCTGCGCCTCCTCTTCCTCCCCCCGCCCGCTTCCTCACGCTCTTCCCCCTTCCGATGCGTCGCCGCTTCCTCCCCCCCCCTCCCCGCTGCTCCTCGTCATGCCCTGTCGTCCCTGCGCCGCTCCCCGCCCGTGTGTCCTTCTGCTCCCCCCTCCCCTGGCTCTCTCTTCCCCCGTCCCTCCCGCAGCACTGCCCCACCCCATCCTCTGCCCATTTCTCTCGGATCCTCCCCCTTTGTAGCCAGTCGGGCTGGAAAGTCCTCTTCTGAGTCTGCGCGCTTCCCACTGGTTCGCGCGCGGTGTTCCGTGGCTGCTGGCATGGCCCTTCGGTAGCAACCTCTGGTGGCGGCAGATCTCCGAACCTGACATCGCACCGCTGGGCACCTCAGTGATTTACCACGCCACCGCGCGGAGCGATCTCGCTTGTTCTGGACGGCGAACGCAGCCCGAGGCACAGACGAGGCTCCGCTCGCGCTCGCCTCCCACCGACAGGACTGCTTCGGCATGGTGGCGCACCCGAGTGCGCCTCTTAGTTCAGGGTTTCGGTTCACGCCCTGGACGGGGCTTCCTGGACGTGCCAGCCGAGCACCTGCGCGACGGGAGGCTACTGATCAAGGACACAGAGCTCCACGGGACTCCATGAAGCTGTTGCTTGCCGCCTACCCTCGGGCAAACTCGCCGGCCGCCCTGAGGCTGTTGAAGGGCGGCCGGATAGAACAGCGGGCGAGGTTCACATAAACAGTGCTGGCTCATGCACAGGCCCTCACGAGCTGGACTTCCGCTGCAATAGGCGCTGCGGCGTGCGGCGTGATGCGAAGAGCGAGGCTTGGACTCGGACAGTCACTGTGACCGCGATGGGCATGTGTAATGTGGAAGTCGATTAATGGAGAGGAAGCGCGCTGCCAAACAACTTCCAGATGTCAAAAACATGTGTCAAACATGTCTTAAGTATGTAGACGCATGTTTGATACATTTTTTGAACATGTTCTTACACAGTTTAAACACATCTGTAGGTCAAGGATAGGACTGCTAGGGTGTCCAGTGTCATGGTATCCACAGCATTGGTGCCAGGGTGCAGGCAAGGCCTGCCGCCGATGCCGGCGGTGGCCTGGGCGGCGCGGGTTTTGCCAGAGAGTTGGCGACGCCGCCACCGGGTGTGCTGTGCGGGGCGCAGGCCGAGGCGGCGGAGAAGCACCGACCCAGCGGAGTGGGCCGCGCTCGGAGGCGGTCGCGGCGCTGAGCTCGTTGTCGTCGTGGCTAGCGCTGTGGAAGTCGATGAATGGAGGGGAAGCATGCTTCCAAATAGTTTCCAGATGTCTGAAAAATGTTTCAAGCATGTCCCAAATATGTAGAAACATGTTTTAAACATGCTTCGGACATTTGTCCCACATGTTTTAAGCACATGTTAAATTCAATGCTAGGACTGTCAGGGTGTCCACTGTCGTGGCATCCACAAGATTCGCGCTGGATATTTCTGGGGGGCTCGTTGCTGCTGGCACCTGGCTGCCGGGCTGCCTCCGAGGCGGGGGCCAGGCCACGCTGCCGACCGTGTGCGCCGCGCTGGCGGAACATCCACGGCCGGAGGGGGGGTGTTGCTACGAAGGTCGAGGAGACCCTCGGCGTGCGAAAAGACGCACGGCAGTGTGGCAGCCTGGTGCCCGAGCGCCAGGCAGCGTGAGCACATTGGGGCTCCCAGTCTTTGGAGAGGCAGAGAAGTGAGGATGGCGCGCAGCTCTCAGAGGTCCTCGCGGATTTCTTGGATCGGCGTTGGGCCCCCCTGGCGGCGGCGCCTCCGGAGCCGCCCCTGGCGGGCTCCGCGCGCCAGGGAGGACCTCTGTGAAATTATGGTTCTGCCGTTGTTCGTTCCTCTGGCCTCCTCGTGGCCTCCTCGTGGCCTCCTCGTGGCCTGTAGCAGGCTGCGGCGGTCCGCCCGACGGCGGGTGGGGCGGAGGTGCCCGCGCGGTGGGTGCTACCGGCTCCGGGGACCCAGAGGCAGAGCAGCGGGGACGACGCGCCCTCTCCTCCAGCGCCAGTGGACTGGCTCTAGGCCTTCTAGTGGGGTCGGAGGGCACGGGTTCGGAAGATCGCGCCGCATCGCCGATGTATCGCCCCCTTTCCTCCCAACGCGCGAATGGCTTCTCTCAATAATGTCATGTTGGTGGAGGGAAGCATGACTGTCCGAGCGGGGCGCGCGCGCGCGTCGGTCGTCTCCTGCACCTCCTGCTTCTTCTGCTCCTGCTGCTCCTCCTCCCCCTTCGTCATCCTTCTCTTCCTCCTGATCGTCCGTCACCTCCTTCTCCTCGTCCACATGTAAGCCCTCCTTGATCGCGCATCATGAGATGGGGCCGCTTCGGCGATCAATGTCATCCAAGACTCCAGGGCACCCCAGTCGACGGATATCATGCAATGTGGCGCAGCGAGAATTCACGGGTTGGGAGGAGCAGGGGGACGGCGCTCAGCTTGCCCTGCCCCTGTCTGCCCCTTCCCATCGTCCCTGCCTCCTCTGCCTCCACCTCCTCCTCCCCCTCCTGCTCCTCCTTCTGCCCCTTCTCCCCAGCCCCGTCGCCTCCTTCTCCTCGTCCTCCTCAACCTCTCCTCTATGGCCGACGCTCTACCTCCTCACTCTCTCCTCTCGGCATCCCTCCCCCTCTACCCCCTCTACCCCGATCCCCTACCCCCTCCTCTCCTCCTCGCCCGCCCCGTTCCTCACCCCCTCCGCCCCCCTCCCTCCTCTCTTATGCCTCCGCCGCTCCCCCTGCTCCTCCGCGGCCAGGTCTTCAACCAGTCCATGGCGATAACGCGCTACGGCCTCGCGCTGGCCGCGGCCAAGCGCGCCCGCGGCGGCACGGTGGAGTTCGACCTGGCCCCACCCGCGGAGGGCGACTGCGCCGCGCTGCTGGCGGCCGAGGAGGTGCTGGAGTTCTCCATGGAGCGCCCTTCCTTCCAAAAAATGCAGTGGAGCCCCATGCCATGACACGCCCTGCTTGCCTCCAGGGTGCCCTGGGTCTCTTGGGTTGCGATGGTGTGGCGATGGAGCGCGTGGCGTTCCCGCGCCGGAGATCGATGGACGTCCTGGGGTCTCGGGGTTGGGTTTCTCGTGGTCCGGCCCCTACTCTAGGGAATGTGCTCAGGAGGCTTCAGACCCTGGAGGAGACCCTATCTGATGTGGGTGGCGGTGGTATCGGTGGCAAAACCTCCATTGGTGCTCCGCCGGCTTCCGGGCCCCGGGTGCCTGGTGAGGGTCCCTTACCCAAAGCCCCACCGTGGGCGCCGCCCTGGAGAGCAACACCTGCATGACCATACACCTTCGGCGCTGGTCCTGGAGCTTCTGCGTGTATGATGCTTTCCTTCCCCGAGGAGCGCCCTCCCCCCAAAGATACGGCCAGAAGCGTTTGCGCAGCGCGTCGTGCCGCGGGCCTTGGGCGCGCCACGCTGTGGCGCGACGCGCTCCACGCGCCCCCGGGTTCCCAGGCAGCGGCGCCCCGAGCATTTCCCAGCCTCCCGTTTCGCGGAGCGGAGCGGCGCGCTGTCCGCGTGCAGGGCGCAGCGTGTCGCCGGGGCCACCGCCGCGACACGCTAGGCAGCAGTTTCTGACACGGGGTTTCGTCGACGACTCGAGGGGTCGACTCCTCGCCGAGGGCGAGCTTTGGCGTGAGTCCCGCAGAGGCCGGCTGGGGCGCGAGGGCGGGGTTCTGCTCGCCAGAGCCTGGCTGAGGACAGCCCTGGAGGAGGCACGCGCCCCGACGCAGGGCCGCGTCGAGGTGATTACACAGGGCTTGCGTGTGCGACGTCGGCCATGGAGATCCAGGGCAGATGGCATTGGAGCCTCCTCCTCCTCCTCCTCCTCCTCCTCCTCCTCCCCTCCTCCCCTCCTCCTCCTCCTTTCCTCCTCCTCCTCCTCCTCCCCTCCTCCTCCTCCTCCTCTCCTCTCCTCCTCTCCTCTCCTCTCCTCCCCTTCCCCCCCCCTCCCCGTCCTCTCCTCCTCCTCCTCCGCCCCTCCTCCTCCTCCTCCTCCTCTCGTCCTCCTCCTCCTCCTCCTCCTCCTCTTCCTCCTCCTCATCCCCCCTCTCCTCCTCCTCCTCCTCCTCCTCCTCCTCATCCTCCTCCTCCTCTCGTCCCTCCCTCCCCCCTTTCTTTTTTCCTCTCTCCTCCTTCCTCCTCCTCCTCCTCCCTCTCCTCATCATCCTCCCCCTCCTCCTCCTCCTCCTCCCCTCCTCCCTCCTCCTCCTCCTCCTCCTCCTCCCTCCTCATCTCCCCTCCTCCTCCCCCTCCTCCTCCTCCTCCTCCTCCTCTCCTCTCCTCCTCCTCCTCCTCCTCCTCCTCCTCCTCTCCTCTCCTCCCTCCCCTCCTCCTTCTCTCCTCCTCTCCTCCTCCCTCCTCCTCCGCCTCTCCTCCTCCTCCTCCTCTCCCCCTCCTCCTCTCCTCCTCTCCTCTCCACTCCTCATCCTCATTTCTCCCCTCCTCCTCCTCCTCCTCTTCCCCTCCTCCTCCTCTCTCCTCCCCCGTCCCCCCCTCCCCGTCCTCCTCCTCCTCCTCCTCGCATCCTCCATCCTCCTCCTCCTCCTCCTCGTCCTCCTCCTCCTTCATCCTGTCCTCCTCATCCTCCTCCTCCTCCTCCTCTCTCCTCCCCCTCCTCCTCCTCCTCCTCTCTCCTCTCCTCCTCCTCCTCATCCTCTCCCTCCTCTCCTCGTCCCTCTCCTCCTTTCTCCTCCTCCTCCTCCTCGCCTCCTCCTCCTCTCCTCCTCCTCCCTTCCTCCCCTCCTCCTCCTCCTCCTCCTCCTCCTCCTCCTCCTCCTCCTCTCCTCCTCCTCCTCCTCCTCCTCCTCCTCCTCCGCCTCCTCCTCCTCCTCCTCCTCCTCCTCCTCCTCCTCCTCCTCCTCCTCCTCCTCCTCTTCCTAGTTCGAGGATGAGCGCCGACGTCCGCGTGCGGCACCGATCGGCTCAGTGACCTCTTTGGTGGAGCCGCCCGGGGCGACGTCGGAGGCGGGGATTTCTCTCGAGTGGCCTTCGGCCCATCCCTAGGGGGCCACATGCGAACCCTACCCCTACCCCCCCCACGATTTCTGAGGGGGAGGGTGGGGTTCACTGCGCTCGGGAGCTCCGTAGGGGTAGGGTTCGTGGCCCCCTAATCCCGCCACCGTGCCCGGGTGGTGGGTCACAGGCCTCTAGGTTGTTCGTTGGGATGGTTGCCTCTTGGGGCCCTTTGTGGGGGCCTCTGGGAGGCCTCTCGTGCACCTCCTGGGGCCTTCTGGGGTCCTCTTGGAGGTCTCTTGGGGCCTCCTGTGGGCTTCTCGGGGCCGCGGGCTCGACATGTCCGTCGGGGGACCCTGTCTGGGCCCCCCGTGGGAGCCGTTTTGGGGGCCTCTTGGGCCGTCTTGGAGGCATTTTTGCTGCGTCTTGGGGGTCTCTTGGGCTGTCTTGGTGTCGTCTGGGGCCTCTTGGGCGGTCTTGGTGTCATCTTGGGGGCCTCTTGGGCCGTCTTGGAGCGTCGGGAAGCTGAAAACGCGAGTACCCCAACAACTTTCAAACACCAATTGAAAACCTATGATTTTTGCTTCTTGGGGCCATGTTTGGAGGCTCTTGGAGGCTCTTGGGCCGTCTGGAGGCCATCTTGGGCCGTCTAGAGGCGCTCCGTGACCGTCTTGGGCGCAGTGGGCAGCTCCGCGAAAGTCTGCGGTTCGTTTGGGGCGTTGCAGCCGTCCCAGAGGTCATGCGAAAAAGTTCGGGAGCTCCACGAGCGCCCGGGAAATTTGTGATCCGAGTCCCGGGCCCTTACGGACCTACAATGCTGGCTGCAGCAGCAGCACAGCTGTGAGCACAATCCTGGCTGCGGCTGCAGCAGCAGTGCAGTTGTGAGCCTTGGAGCACCCCACGTTGTGCCAGAGGCACGGTGGCGGATCCATAATCACCGCCTGGGGAATCGATCTTCGGGGAACTCGGCAGGCGGCGCAAATCAATATATTCGGGCCCCAGGGGCCCAAGCATGTCCACATCCACCGCCCCCTGGGAGCCCAGGACGTCGCCTCCCCATGCAGTGGAGATGGATAAGCCTTGCACGACTGCCCTTCTCCACAGATGGTGATCGATTTCTTGTTCACTGTTTTGCCGAGGGGCGCGGGCCCTCGCCCCCCCCCTCCTCCCCCCCTGTGGAGTAGATCTTGGCTACTTTTTCGCGCCTGTTTCGAGCAGGTGGAGTCTCCCCGCCTAAGACGCACTGTTGCAAGCAGTCGCGCTGAGCGGAGGTCCCGGAGCCAGACCCCCCCCTCCTCCCTTTCGCTCGACGTGCATACGCCGAATGCAGTGGGGGCCCATGCCAAGAAACACCCTGCTTGCCTCCAGAGTGCCCCGGGTTTCCTGGGTTTCGATGCGTCCGCCGTGGAAAGCGTGACGCCCCCACGCCCAGAAATCAAGGGACGCCCTGGGGTCTCAGGGCCGGGCTTCTTGTGGAAGGCTTCTCTTGGGTGGGCCTCCACCGTAAGAGTCGACTAGACGCAAAAGTGACCTTTTGCCGGAGTGACCTTTGGTGCGGGCCCCATGGGGTCCTCCGATCGCTGAAGCGAAGCGGCAGCAGCGGCTTGAGCGCCTGGGCTTGGCCACCCCACGTCCCCCCCTGACACCGCGCACCAAAGGCCACTCTTGCCTAGGGTCACCCCTGCGTGTAGCCGAAAGAAGACGTTCGCATGGGCTTCGACGTGATCGGCTCGATGGCGCCTGCGACTCTCAAGTCGGGCGTGTCCCTCTACAGGAGGGATATCCAGAAATAGTAAACAAACAGTCTGGGGACATTTTTTTGACTTCTGTTGAATCTGCGTTTTTTTCCCAACCATTCTGTGGTGTCGGGTCCTCGTTTTGAAGAGACGTCGCCCCGCGTTTCTCCTCTTCCTCCTCCTCTCCTCTCCTCCTCCCCCTCCTCCCTCCTCCTCCTTGCGTTTCACCCACCCAGTACAGCGTTTCGTGGCCCCATAGGGAGCTCCACCGAAGGCTCCAGTGGCTGCGTTCGCATGGTGGCCCCGCCCCATTTCGGCGCACCCCTCACGAGGATCGTGGCCCCATAGGGAGCTCCACCGAAGGCTACAGTGGCTGCGTTCGCATGTGGGCCCCGCCCCATTTCGGCACACCCCTCACGAGGATCGTGGCCCCATAGGGAGCTCCACCGAAGGCTCCAGTGGCTGCGTTCGCATGTGGACCCCGCCCCATTTTGGCGCACCCCTCACCAGGATCGTGACCCCATAGGGAGCTCCACCGAAGGCCCCAGTGGCAGCGTTCGCATGGCGGCCCCGGGCCATTTCGGCACACCCCTCACGAGGATCGTGGCCCCATAGGGAGCTCCACCGAAGGCTCCAGTGGCTGCGTTCGCATGGTGGCCCCGCCCCATTTCGGCACACCCCTCACGAGGATCGTGGCCCCATAGGGAGCTCCACCGAAGGCCCCCAGTGGCTGCGTTCGCATGGTGGCCCCGCCCCATTTTGGCGCACCCCTCACGAGGATCGTGGCCCCATAGGGAGCTCCACCGAAGGCCCCAGTGGCAGCGTTCGCATGGTGGCCCCGCCCCATTTTGGCGCACCCCTCACGAGGATCGTGGCCCCATAGGGAGCTCCACCGAAGGCTCCAGTGGCTGCGTTCGCATGGTGGCCCCGCCCCATTTCGGCGCACCCCTCACGAGGATCGTGGCCCCATAGGGAGCTCCACCGAAGGCGCCAGTGGCAGCGTTCGCATGGTGGCCCCGGGCCATTTCGGCACACCCTTCACGAGGATCGTGGCCCCATAGGGAGCTCCACCGAAGGCTCCAGTGGCTGCGTTCGCATGGTGGTCCCGCCCCATTTCGGCGCACCCCTCACGAGGATCGTGGCCCCATAGGGAGCTCCACCGAAGGCGCCAGTGGCAGCGTTCGCATGGCGGCCCTGGGCCATTTCGGCATACCCCTCACGAGGACCGTGGCCCCATAGGGAGCTCCACCGAAGGCTCCAGTGGCAGCGTTCGCATGGCGCCCCCGCCCCATTTCGGCACACCCCTCACGAGGATCGTGGCCCCATAGGGAGCTCCACCGAAGGCCCCAGTGGCAGCGTTCGCATGGCGGCCCCGCTCCATTTCGGCACACCCCTCACGAGGATCGTGGCCCCAAAAGGGAGCTCCACCGAAGGCCCCAGTGGCAGCGTTCGCATGGCGGCCCTGGGCCATTTCGGCACACCCCTCACGAGGATTGTGGCCCCATAGGGAGCTCCATCGAAGGCCCCAGTGGCAGGGTTCGCATGGCGGCCTCGGGCCATTTCGGCACACCCCTCACGAGGATCGTGGCCCCATAGGGAGCTCCACCGAAGGCCCCCAGTGGCAGGGTTCGCATGGCGGCCTCGGGCCATTTCGGCACACCCCTCATTAGGATCGTGGCCCCACAGGAGCTCCACCGAAGGCGCCAATGGCAGTCTCCCTCATGGCTCTCAGAACCATTTCCTGCTTCTGCTTTTCGGTCAGGGGGACGCCATCCTCGTGGTCGTCGGCGCCCGCGAAGACGGCCACAAACGTGCCCCTGAGCATGTCGGGCTCCGGCGGGAAGCCGTGGCCACATAGGGAGCGCGGGCGAAGATGGTATTCTTCACAATTGCTGTATCCACAATTGCGTATGGTTGGGTCCTTCGCCAGGCTAATTTGAAATATTTTCTGGGTGCTTCCAATTTTTCGCCCAACATCCCCCTGTCTGGGGGGGGCAGGCCCGACCTGTCATGCGCCTCGGCCGCTCCGAGCCCGAGGGCGGCGCCTCCCCGTGGAGGCGCCGCGGCCTCCGCGGCGGGCGCCCGCGCCTCCTCGGGCCTCCCGCGGCGGGCGCCCGCGCGGGCCGGACCCCCCGAGGGGGGGGGGCCCGCGGAGCAGGGACGACGCTGAGCGGAGGGGCGGGCGGGGCGGGCGCAGCAGGCCGCCGCCGCGCCTCCGTGGGCCTCGGCCCCCGCCTCCGTGGGCGCCCTCTGCCACGGAGTGTATACACCCCGAGATCCGACGCAGCGGAAAACATCGGGACGGAGGTGTCTTTCCTTTTTTTGTGTGAAATATTTGTTTCGTTTTTGCAAAAAAACAAGAAAAAACATCAGGACGGAGGTTATTTCCCATTTTTGGGGGGCCTCCAGGGGGGCCCTCGCCGGGCCCGCGGAGTCCGCGGAGCACGGGACGAGAGCGGAGGGCGGGCCGCGCAGGCCGCCGCCACGCCCCCGGGGGCCTCGGCCCCGCCTCCGTGGGCGCCCCGCCTCGAAGTGCCCAGGTGTGGGGGGCGTGTGCCGAGCAGCCAGCTGGGTTTTGCCGGGGTGCCCATGGGTTTCTCGGCTCTCGCTGTGCCCCCAACAAGATCTGGACGGTTCCCGATCGACAGACAGTGGGTCTGCACCGAACAGATCGCGGATTTCAGGGTGGGGTTTCTCGCGGAGGCCTCTTCTGGCCGAGCCCCTACTGTGCCCCGAGATCCGACGCATGGGAAAAATCAGGACGGAGGTTTTTTCCCAATTCTTTTGGCCTCCACGGAGGCCCTCGCCGGGCCCCCCGGGGCCGTCAAGTGCAGCGGCTCGGAGCGAGAAGCCTTGTCCCGGGGAAGGGGTCGAGCCTGCCAGGGGCCCCGCATGGAAAACGTCAGCACGTCGGATCTCTGGGTTACCTCGGCGCGTCCAGCGCCGGGAGGCGCCGGGAGACTCGGCCATATGACACGCGAGCGGGTCCTCGAGAGAGGAGGAAAACGAATTCCCTGCCCTCCGCGCCGGCTGGATCCCCCTCGGGCTCGGGATCAGAGCGCGCCCCCCGGAACGGCCTCGGGGGTGGGCGGGCACTCGGGTCGGAGGAAAGGGGCCGCGTGCGCGGGTAGACGCGAGGAGAATCAGCTGCTTGAGCTGATTCGCGAACCCCCCTTTGTCTACCTCGATCGGAGGTGGATAGACCTCCTACCCTGACACGTTGATCGAGGAATTGGCCGTTTTCGGTTCGCGAGGGGGCGTCGCGGCCGTCATTTTTGCGGGTCCAGGTCCGTCGGTTTCGGTCCCAGGCCGTTTTCACTAAGGGGAGGTTTACTAAAGGAAGGTTTGTCCACCGCCGACTCGAAGAAAGAACTATATATATATATATATATATATACACATAGCCTTTTGGCGCTCCGCGCGGGCTTCTTGGATCGGCGCCTGGGCCCCCCAGGCGGCGCCTCCGGCGCTTCGCCTGGCGCGCCCTCCGCAGGCCGGGGAGGGGGGGGTCCGGAGCAGATCCAAGAGCTCCGCGCGGAGCGCCACAAGTCTCCGTCCGCGCCGCGTTGCCTTCGAGGCAGACAGCAGGGGGGCTATATAGCGCATCGGCCTGCGCAGCTGATCCTCCTGCGCCTCCCCGGCGCCGGGCGCGCTCCTTTCGTCCGGGCCCGAGGCCCCGCCGAGTCCCCCGGGCCTTTCAGGGGGGGCGCGCCCTGCTCCAGAGCCCCGAGGGGAGAATCCGCAGTCGTGGCGCGACGGGCGTCCGAGTCCTCCCTCCGAGCCCCGCCGACCGGCGGGCCCCGTGCGGATGGCTGCCTGGGCTAGTGGCTGCACCGCCTCCTCCCTCGCTCCTGCTTCTCGCTCCTCCTCCTCCTCCTCCTCCTCCTCCTCCCTCGCTCCTCCTTCTCGCTCCTCCTCCTCCTCCTCCTCCTCCTCCGCAGATCCGAGAAATCCGCGCGGAGCGCCACAAGTTTATGAGTTTATGTTTAGGTTTGCTGTTTTTCTTTTAGACTTGTGGAGGACGATCAGTGGAGAGGAAGCATGTTGCCAAATAATTTCCAGAAGTCTAGAACACGTTAAAAGCACGCTTTAAACATGTAGATCACATGTTTAAATCATGCTTAGAACATGTTGCCGACATTTTAAACACATTTTAATTCAATGGTAGGACCTTCAGGGTGTCCATTGTCGTGGCATCCGCAATTCTAGACAAGTTGGGCCAGCGAGTCTTAACCAGGTTGCCGGAAGGCTGGCCCAGCCTCTCCAGCACGTTCGCCCCTCCGGCGCCAACGACCGAAATTGGCCCAGGCGTGTGTCAAGCAGCTTCGGGAAGCTGGCCTAGATGGAGGGTTTCTTCGAAGGGCTTAGGCGACCCCTCCTCCTCCTCCTACTCCTCCTCCTCCTCCTCCTCCTCCTCCTCCTCCACCTCCTCCTCCATCTCCTCCCCCTCCCCCTCCTCCTCCTCCTCCCCCTCCTCCTCCCCCTCCTCCTCCTCCTCCTCCTCCTCCTCCTCCTCCTCCTCCTCCTCCTCCTCCTCCTCGTGTCGCCTATGGCCCCGGGGGAATCCGTTTAGGCCCAGAGGTCTCACACCCTGAAATCAGATTGCCTGGAGATAGGGTTAATTGGCGGGTAAAGCACCTTGTCTTCCGAGGTGTCCGGTGCGCTCTCAACTGTCCTTGAAAAACCGAAGGGAAGGCTTATTCTCACCCCTGGTCGTACCCATAACCGCATCAGGTCTCCAAGGTTAGCAGCCTCTGGTCGATAGAAGAAAGTAGGTAAGGGAAGTCGGCAACATAGATCCGTAACTTCGGGAAAAGGATGGGCTCTTTTCTTGATCACATTTATGGCTGTGCTCCCCCGCGCGCGCAGCAGCCTCGCCGCCATTTCGGGAGCAGCCCCGTCGCAGCTGGCAGCGGCCACGGGTCGGCCCCGCGCGCCGCGGCCAGCGGCGACCCCCTCCCGAGGAGATCCTCAACAAGTGCCCCGGGGATCCGGACGCCGAGGCGGCCCACCTCCGCTGCTGCTGCTGCTGCCGCTGCTCGCCCTCCTCCCTCCCCCTCCATTCTTTCTGGCCGCGCGCAGAAGGGGGTAGGGGGAGGGGGGAAGGCTTCTTAGAAGCACCCCTGCTTCTCAGAAGGCGCGGGCCTTCTTCGCAGATGTAAGGCCGGCGCCTTCTAAGAAGCAGCCTCCTTCTAAGAAGCCTTCCCCCCTCCCCCTACCCCCTTGTGCGCGCCGCCATTCTTTTTCCTTATGAATAATTTCGCCCAGTCGCACCCCGAGGCCAGTTTTTTTTAAAAGGGCGGGCCAGGCGTTTCGCCCGAGACGTCCTCACCACTTTTGATTCTGAAGCTTGAACATTGACAGCAGTTTCACAGATGGAGGGCGGGAGGTTTTCAAAATGTGGCTCTCACCTTAGCCCTTAGCGTGGCGCACATTCGATTTAAACATGTGCAAAGGCTTCACGGATTGAGGGCGGGTGGTTTAAGACATATGGTTCTTGCCATAGTGCCGCGCGCATTCGCTTTAACAAATTGCAAGAGTTTCACGTGTTGATGGCGGGCGGCTTTCAAACTGTGGCTCTCGCTTGAGCGCCGCGTGCATTAGTTTTGAACATTTGCAAGAGCTTCGCGGATTGAGGGCTGGCCGTTTTCAACAATGTGGCTCTCGTCTTAGCGCCGCATGCACTCGGTTTAAACATGTGCAAGCGTTTCACGGATTGCGGGTGGGTTGTTTTCAAAAGTGTGTTCTTGCTTCAGCGCCGCGCACATTCGTTTTAAACATGTGCAATAATTTCACGGATTGAGGGCGGGTTGTTTTCAAACTGCGGTTCTCTCCCCAGTGCCGCTCACGTTCGTATTTAACATGTGTAAGAGCTTCACGGATTGAAGGTGGTTCCTTTTCAACATGTGGTGTTCGCATTAGCGCCGCGCAAACTCGTTTTAAACATTTGCAGGAGTTTCACTGGTTCCCATGATCAACGTACCAGACATGTGTTTTGGAAAAAATCGGATTATGCGGGTGCAGCAGTTATGTTGGTTCGCAGTGCTGACGTCCCACGAATGGCGTTATGGTGCGACTCCAGATCGTCAAGATGCAGCAGTCTGGTTGATCCGTGGCATTGAAGTCCCGAGAACAATGTTTTGCTATGCTTCAGGATGCTCAAACGGCTGGCTTCCAACGAGGCACTTCCCTCAATGGAAATGAACCGCTGTAGGGGCCTAAGACGAGGGAGCTTGGAGGGAGGGTTCATTCCAACATCGTTGATGACTCTTGGGTTTACATTGGTCCTCCTCCTCCTCCTCCTCCTCCTCCTCCTCCTCCTCCTTCTGCTTCTCCTCTTCTTCCTCCTCCTCCTGCCCTGGAGGGGCACCCCCATAAGTGGGGTGTGGGGGGCCAAAGCGGCCCCTGGCGGAGGCGGGGACCGTCTGGCCTTCGGGGTGCAAGCCCCCCCGCTGGGACGGCCCCCAAAGCGGGGTCCCCCTCCCAGGGGTCCCTGGCCACGCAGCCTCCCACGGGAGCCTGGCCCTCAGCCAGGTGTCACCCGCGGGAGTCGTGTACCAAGGGGCTCGTCTCCCCTTCCACCGTCGCCGTCGCTGTCGTTCGTCGTCGTGTCGTGGTGGGCCCTTGGGGGGGGGGCGTGGGTGTGTGGCGGCGTCCTGGCCCTTGCCCGTTCTGTCAGGTTTGCCCGTGTTTGGGTTGCGGCGGTTTCCGGCCTGGCAGATGAGGGCAGGGGAGCTGGCTTGCCATCCCCATGCTGCCCGCTCAGAAGGGCCTGTCTCGCGCTGTGAGTGCCCCGCGGTTCGGCGGGGGCCTGGCGCGCCGGGTTCGCGCCTGCTTGTGGCGCGTTCTTTTGCCGACCTCTCCGAGGCGCCGTCCATCCATCCTCCTCCTCCTCCTCCTGTTCCCTCTTCCTCCCCCTCCTCCTCGTTCTCCTTGGTTTTCACCTCCAGTCTCCGTCTCGTTTGAGCGGGCGGATCGCGGCCGACAGGCTTCCTCACTTGCGCGCGCGCGTGAGTCGACCAGGCCCCTTAGGCCGCCCACCGCCCCATCGCGCGACCCTCCACCCGAAGGCCTGCTTCATGCAGGCGTTGTTTTTTGCCGAAGCCCCGCTGGTTACTGCTGCGCGCCCTGTCGGGCCTTCCCGTCAACCCCCTCGTTGGGTCAGAAACCCTTAGCGCGGCTCGCGGGATTTTGGATTCGCCCGTGCCTAGGGGCGTCATTGGTGATGCGGTTGCTCGGCTTACGCGGTTTTGCGGTCGCTGGGCTCGCCTGGCGGAATTGAAAATCTCCGCTGCCCACGTCGCCCCTTCGTCTTGGGGCGAGGGGGACGATGCCGGGGCTTAAGTGGAACACATTCTTAAGGCCGACTCGCGCAAAGGTCACCATCCCGACCTTTTTGCAGTCAAGAAAGTGCTGTTTTGTATGCGTGGCCTCTGGGAAGTGGGCGGTGGCTCCGGCATCTTCAACGGAACTCGGGTTGACAGCCTCTCTCTTGTTAGATCCGCCCAGCGATTTTGGTTTCGGGAAGGCGTTTGGCGGGCATGGAATAAAGCACGCGCAGGTTTTCGTGCGCCAGGCCCAGCGGGAGGGTTTGGCCGAGCATGTGGAGCGTGAGCAGCATCGTCTCAGCCTTTATCCTTCCAGTTAGGTCCCCGACCCCCCTCTGGCGGGGGCGGTTCGCGAGGGGACCATTCGAAGCTTGTGGGCGGTACGCGGTGCCCTCGCGGACCCATCCGAAGACTTTCTTGATGGCGCGGTCGACGGTTGCGAAGACCTTCCCCCGAGGCCCGCGGTGTCCTCGCCCCCACGTCTTGCCTGTTAGGTTCCCGAGAGTTGGTGGCCGAGAGCTTCGTGGGCCAGCAGCGGGCGGCCGTGTGCAGGACCAGCCGGCGCGCCCTGCTGAACTGCTCGCGCGGCTGGGCGCCGCCGTAGTCGCTGCCCGGTAGCCCGGGCTGCGGGGGTGAGAAGGGGGAAATCTCGGGGGTGGGCAGACCTCCAGCCCCCGACACGTCGATGAGCGAGTGGGCAGATTTCGGTTCGCGAACGGGGCGTCGCGGCCGTCATATTTTGCGGGCCCAGGCCCGTCGGTCTCGGTCCCAGGCCGTTTTCACTAAAGGGCGGGTTGCTAAGGGACGGTTTGTCCACTGGCGATCCAAGGGGCCCTCAAGAGAGGAACCACCCGGGGAGGGATCTGGCCCAGTCGCTCTCTAGCTTCGGGCGTGGACAGGACACCCACCCTTACGCGTCGATCAGTGAATTGTCCGTTTTCGGTTCTCGATCGGCGTCGCCCCAACACATTTGTAGTATATGTTCGTCGCCCCCCCCCCCAGGGGCGACGCGCGCACCGAGAAATCGTATAGTATATGTGTCGCGGCGGGCGCTCTTTGGCCACGCCGCTCGGAAGAGGATCTACTACAAGATGGGTGTACGATATGCTCAGGTCGGACGCGCGTCTCCAAGCATAACACATCGTACTCGTATGTCTCTGTGCGCCCCACTCGAGAGGCTCCGATCTAGGGGGTTGTCCACCACCGAGGAAACATGAGCTCCGATATAATAGCACTGGGCTCGGGGGAGGTGCGAGGCGCGCGCTCGGCTCGTCGGCGCCGGCGGCGGGCGGGGGCCCGTCGACGACTCCGAGTTCCTCGGGGGGTCTCGTTTCGGACGCGCCCATCCTCGGTCGGATCGCTGGGCGGAGCATATCGGGCCTGTGTCGGGGGCCTTGAGACGGGGGTCCGCGCAAACGGGGGTCGGCCAGAGCGCCCGATCTCTTGCGGGACCCCTGCAGGGCCAGGGTCGCATTGACCCGGGCTCGGGTGCAGGATCCTGCAGCATCTTGCGGGATCCTTCGCGTTGACCCGGGCTTGGGTGCAGGATCTGCAGGAATTTGCAGGATTCTGCAAGGCCTGACCGACCCGGGTCTGGATTGACCCGGGTCAGAGGACCCCCGACTGTGGCAGGCTTGCGTGCCAGACCTCCCAGGCGAGGGTCTAAGCTTAAGAAGCCCTTGGCCATGCCCTCCGTAATAGCTTGTCCGAGGCATCTCCAGGAAGTGTTCCCTGAGGACCGCGCGCGGGCTGGATGCATTTCAGATGGGGCACTGCTCGTGGGTGAACGATGATTGTCTTCAGGTGTGCTGGGGGATGACCTGGATTCGTGAAAAACGGCATCCGCCCTTTCGGCCCAACTGCAGGTGGCGCAGCTAGCCCTTCTCATGAGGCCGCCGGGAGGCGGGGGGCCGATCGGCCCGCTCTGCTCGCAATGCCAGTGATGGGGCATATCCCGTCTGCCGCCACTTCGCGCCCGAGTGGGGGATGAGCCGCCGGCGAAGTTTATGCGCGGGCCAGACTGTTGCGTCGGCCAGCGGCGCCGTTGGGAGGCGGAACTTCAGGGCGGAGGCTCGGATTGCAAGGGGAAGGGCCATCGGGGCCCTCATGTGGGATATGGGGGGGGCCATCGCTGGGCGCGGTTTCGCCGCGTCTTTCGTGCCGGCCGATGCCTTGGAGGCTTTCCCGAATACGAAGCTACTCCGACATGCGCTTTTGGTGCATGGGCGACAGGGGCCCACTGGCAGTTGGCAGCGCGGCGCAGGCGACCGCGGGCTTGAAGGGGGCCAGCGTCCAGCTGTTCAGTGCCCTCGAGGGTGAATGCGGGCGTGCGATCTCGCGCGATAGAGTTGCCGCATCATTATCATTCTCGTGCATGTGTTGTTGAAGATATACGGACAGCTTGCGCTGAACTCCGAGCCCGTGGATACATGTGTGACCGTATTACACATACAGAGGTCTGCCGCGGTCAGTTCGAGCGGAGAGATCACTGCGGCAATGCGTAATTTGTTTGGCATTCTGGCAGGGACGGTCACTGATCGTGCCCCGATCATCGGGGCGGGCGATGCTGGGGGTCGACCTCGTCGGACCGCGCGTCGTGGATCTGTTCTCCGCGCCAGGCCGATGACCTTTAGAGGCGCGCCGCAATGCTGGTCAGGATGCGATATAGTCTCGGCATGTATGTTCAGAGGATATGGATCTCCTGAGCCCTCCCTGGGGCGTCGCCCGGCTCGGGAATCAACAGGCCCTCGGATTTTGAGCTCCTGGATATTCGCCGGGAAGTTAGGGAAGTGCTCCTTCCTGGGGCTCAGCGGCGTTCTCCGACGTCTACAGCGATATGTTGCAATGCCCTTTTTTGGCTAGGTGCAGTCTCTCCCATCGTGCGGTGCTCTACGGAGGTCTGGGCGCATGGGCGCCGCAGACGCACTCGTGTCCGCTTTCGCTCGGTTGGGCATGCGGCGCGTCGCGTCGCTTCGGAGTCTGGAGCACGAAGCTGTCCGCAAAGCTGACGCGGCGTGAACTAGGCTCTGCTACGACGTGATTCGCAACCGTTTGCGGCCATCAAAGGCCCCCGATAAAAGGCCAGGCTTCCATGCGAAGTTTGGCGTGCGAGGCGCTGTGGACACATGGCAGGGCGTGGAGGAGGGGGGGCGGGGGGGGGGGGCAGGCTACCAGGTCATGAGTCCCTGCCCGCTCTGCGGCCCGCCAGGCGACGCCTTGTGCCGTCGTCTGTGGCTCTGCCCATGTGTCTCATCCATCCGTGAAGGAGTTGTCAAGCCTGAGCTCAGCCGATGATGCGCGCGTGTGTCCGACCCTCTGGATGCGTTGCTGTCCTGCAGAGGTTCTATTCCGCATCGGGTCTGTTCCCTCGACCTGCGTCGGAGCAGGGCTTGGTTCAGGTCCGCGCGTTTTGGGGCGAGCCCCGCCCCCCCCCTGTCGGTTGCGCTTTTGTGGGGCATGCGCTCGTGGATGGCAGTTGCCATAGACGTGTCATCAGCGAGCTCTCCAGGGCGGGGCGCGGGCTGGCTGTCGTAGACAGTGAAGGCCGCGGGTTCGGTAGGCTCTTTGGCCCTGCCCGTGGCCCTTCATCTGCAGACTTCGGGGTGCCGCTCATGGAGGCACGCGCGCAGCCCTCGATTCGGCATGTGCCAATGCTGTTAGACTGCGCTCTAGCCCGTGCAGCGGCCAGCCTTCAGGAGGAACAACAAACACACAGGCACAATTAATCGTCGTTCCCTCAGAAAATAGGGGAAACTACGGGAAGTGGGGGGGAGACAGAAACCCATAAAATATAGGAAAGTATGGTGAATCGTTTTATTTGAGTGTATTTATTTGTGTGTCCTGGGGCCCCTTCAAGCTTAGCTATACGAAGCCACTCGCTGGCCTGATGATGATGCTCGGGTGGGGGCGGAGGTGGGTGGATTTGGTCGTAAGGGCCGAAGCTCAATTAGATTTTTTGAAGGCGGGCATTTCAGATTGCGATCGCTGGCTGCGAGTGGGCACTGACGAGTCCGATGAGGCTGCGAAGTTTGGGGCGCTTTGGCAGGCGCGACCCTTTGCTCAAGAACAGGAGGCGCCGACTCGGAAGATGGGAGTGTCTCAGGCGGCATGTGCCTCGGCAGCCAACGTGCTCCCGTTGTGGCCCCGTTTGGACTTCTCCTGGCGCCCCTGGGTTGCTCACCCTGAAGCTCCTGTGGCTCCCGAGGGTCCCCACATGCCTGGCTGCATGTACATTTCGGATTGCGCTCTGGTTTTGTGCTCTAATGTTTCCAATGTGTACGACCCTTTTCCTCAGAGCACTTAAGCACGAGGCAAAGTCTTTCTTATTTCCAGATGGTTCCCTGATTACTGCTTGCCTGATGTGCCACTATTGCGCCACCATTGGCCCATTTCCAGGCCTTGCCAATGAGCGAGGCAATCCCACGCCCAAGCAGACCTGGTGTCTTAATCAGATGTACAAGGGACGTCATCCAACGAGGAATGACGTGACGGTGGAGACCGCCCCGTGGCGCTGACCTTCTCCATTCGTGCTGCCCCTGGGGTCCAGGAGTTGTTTCCAGGACGTCCTCGCCCAGCCTGCTGATTGTTCTCTCTGGCCGCGCAGGTTTCTGCCTGCTTGTGGCGAGGGGGGCACCATGCAGGCTCGGCTTCTGTTTTGAGCTCGGGCCCCTGCTTCCTGGCTCCGCTGGGCGGCGCGAAAGTGGCAGAGGCCGAGACGGACCTCGAGCGCCACCCCGCGCTGCGTGCTAGGAGTCGGGCGGGGCAGCTGGGTGAGCATTCGTTGCATCGTTGCATCGTCCCCGGCCGCGCGCGTCCCCGGTCCGGTTCTTTGGCGCCAGCGCGCCGGCTTCCCCCAGGGGGGAGGCGCCGTCCTCCCCGGCGTGCGCTCTTGGCAGGCGAGTTCCCTCCTCCTCCTCCTCCCCTCCTGCTTCTCCTCCTCCTCCTCCTCCTGCTCCTCCGCTCCTACTCCTCCTCCTCCTCCTCTTCCTCCTCCTGACTCCTCCTCCTCCTCCTCCTCCTCCTCCTCCTCCTCCTCCTCCCCCTCCTCCTCCTCCTCCTCCTCCTCCTCCTCCTCCTCCTCCTCCCCCTCCTCCCCCTCCGCTCTTCTCCAGCTTCCTCGCCGAGGTGAAGAAGCAGAAGCGCCTGGAGTATGCCGCGGAAGGTGGTCCCATGACGAAGTGGTTCCGCATCTTGGAGGCACGGCTGACGGCGTCCGGTGGGCCCTTCGTGCTGGGGGAGAGGCCTCGGCTGACCTCAAACGCCTTGGGGGGACCGGCAAGGGAGTCCGACCTCCTCCTCCTCCTCCTGCTGCTGCTGCTCCTCCCCCTCCTCTTCCTCCTCCTCCTCCTCTTCTCCTCCTCCTCCTGCTCCTCCTCTCCTCCTCCTCCTCCTCCTCCTCCTCCTCCTCCTCCTCCTCCTCCTCCCTCTCCTCCCCCTTTTTTTCCTCCCCCCCCCTCCTCCTTCTCCTCCCCCCCTCCTCACTACTCCAGTCTTCTGCCTGCCTCCCCCCCTCCTCTCCAGCGGGCACGGGTGGGAGGAGTGCAGAGTGCGGAGGGGGGAAACGGAAGGATGAGGTAAACCAGTAAGTGAGTACGTAAGTCAAGTAGTAAGTAGCAGATAGGTAGGTAGATCGGTAGGCAGGTTAGTTGGTAGGTAGGTTGTTAGGTTGTTAGGTAGGTAGGTAGGTAGGTAGGTAGGTAGGTAGGTAGGTAGGTAGGTAGGTAGGTAGGTAGGTACGCAGGTCGGTAGGTAGGTAGGTAGGTAGGTAGGTAGGTAGGTAGGTAATTACGCAAGTACGGGGAAGGATGGGGATAATCTCTTTGAACATGGTGGGAGGAAGGGCACGAGGAATACTTTAAGCAGTGGCCGCGATACGAGGAAGCGAAGGAATATGACTCTAGCCAGAAGAGGACCATGGCAATGCGATTCGATTCGTGGTGCCAGGCTGAGTGTGTATGTGTGCGTGTGTGAGCGAGATGTGCGAGGCTGGTCGGAGGGTGGGTTTCGTGGGATAAAAGAATCGCCATTCATTCATTTCGCGTCTGGAACCGTGCTCGTCTCCGGCGGTCGGAAACTTTTGCCTAGCGTGTCGCGCCGCCAGTCCTGGCCCACGAAGCTGCGGCTCTGTATCCTGACCTCTACCCAGCTCCCCTGCGTCAGCGTCCTGAACTCTTCTGGGCCTCCCGCCCCGCGGAGCGGAGCGACACGTTATCCGCTCAGAGGGCATAGCGTGTCGCCGGGGCCGCCGCCGCGACACGCCAATCAAAAGTCCCTGACCGTAAGAGGAGTAGGAGGAGGAGGAGGAGGAGGAGGAGGGGGTGGAGGAGGATGAGGTGGAGGAGGGAGAGGGGTGCATGAGGAGGAGGTGGAGGAGGAGGTGGAGGAAGAGGTAGAACAGGAGGAAGTGGAGGAGGAGGTGGAGTAGGCAGGAGGCAGGAGGAAGAGGAGGAAGAGGAGGATGAGAACGAAGAGGAGGAGGAGGAGGAGGAGGAGGAGGAGGCGGAGGTGGAGGAGGCAGGAGGAAGAGGAGGAGGAGGAGGAGGAGGACCAGTGGAAACCCAAGAGTCATCAACGATCTTGGAGTTAATTCTCCATCCAAGCTTCCTCTTCATAAGACCCTACAGCGGTTCATTTTCATTGAAGGAACTGCTTCGTTGGAAGACATCAGTTTGAAGATCCTGAAGCGTGCCAAAACATTGTTCTCGGGATGTCAACGCCACGTATCAACCTGGCTGCTGCGTCTTGACAACCCAGAATCGTGCCAGAGCGCCGTTGTTTGGGAGTTCAACACGGCGAATCAGCATAACTGCTGCGCCCGCATAATCCTGAATCCTTTTAAAACACTACTTCTGCTACGGTCATCATGGGAATCCGTTAAACACTCGTATAGATTTGAAACGAATGTGCGCGGAGCTAAAGCGAGAGCCACATTTTGAAAGCCACTCGCCCTTCATGCGTGAAGCTCTGGCACATGTTTAAAACGAATGTGCGCGGCGCTAAGGCGAGAGCCAGATTTTGAAAACCACCCGCCCTCAATCCGTGAAGCTCTGGCAAATGTTTAAAACGAATGTGCGCGGCGCTAAAGCGAGAGCCACATTTTGAAAACCACCCGCTCTCAATCCGTGAAGCTCTGGCAAATTTTTCAAACGAATGTGCGCGGCGCTAAGGCGAGAGCCAGATTTTGAAAACCACCCGCCCTCAATCCGTGAAGCTCTGGCAAATGCTTAAACGAATGTGCGCGGCGCGAAGGCGAGAGCCAGATTTTGAAAACCACCCGCCCTCAATCCATGAAACTCTGGCAAATGTTTAAAACGAATGTGCGCGGCGCTAAAGCGAGAGCCACATTTTGAAAGCCACTCGCCCTTCATGCGTGAAGCTCTGGCACATGTTTAAAAACGAATGTGCGCGGCGCTAAGGCGAGAGCCACATTTTGAAAGCCACCCGCCCTTCATGCGTGAAGCTCTGGCACATGTTTAAAAACGAATGTGCGCGGCGCTAAGGCGAGAGCCACATTTTGAAAACCACCCGCCCTCCATCCGTGAAGCTCTGGCAAATGTTTAACATGACTGTGCGCGGCGCTAAGGCGAGAGCCACATTTTGAAAACCACCCGCCCTCAATCCGTGAAGCTCTGGCACATGTTTAACATGAATGTGCGCGGCGCTAAGGCGAGAGCCAGATTTTGAAAACCACCCGCCCTCAATCCGTGAAGCTCTGGCAAATGTTTAAAACGAATGTGCGCGGCGCGAAGGCGAGAGCCAGATTTTGAAAACCACCCGCCCTCAATCCGTGAAGCTCTGGCAAATGTTTAAAACGAATGTGCGCGGCGCTAAAGCGAGAGCCACATTTTGAAAGCCACTCGCCCTTCATGCGTGAAGCTCTGGCACATGTTTAAAAACGAATGTGCGCGGCGCTAAGGCGAGAGCCAGATTTTGAAAACCACCTGCCCTTCATCCGTGAAACTGTTGCCACTTAAGCTTCAGAGTCATAAGCGGTGATGAAGTCTCCGGCCAAACGCCCAGCCCGCCCTAAACACTGGCCTCGGGGTGCGACAGGGGAATGTTATCTATAGGGAAAAAGGAATTTAGGAGGAGGAGGTGGAGGTAGGAGGAGAAGGAGGAGGAGGAGGAGGAGGAGGAGGGGGAGGAGGAGGAGGAGGAGGAGGAGGGGGAGGAGGAGGAGGAGGAGGAGGAGGAGGAGGGGGATGAGGAGAAGGAGGGGCAAGTGGAGGTAGGAGAAGGAGGGAGGAGAGGCCGACCGACGTCCCCCCCCCCCCCGTTCAGCTTTGCGACTGCCGCCCGCTCTGGCTGCCCCTGGGCCTTCGCCTGGCCGAGAGGCTCTGCATCGCGGACGTGACCCTGTACCAGACCACCGCCATGATCAGGGCAGGCCAGTTCGACCACGTGGAGCCCAGCTACCTGGAGCAGTTCCCCAGGTGAGCGACGTAATCAAGCCATGACAGGTCGACTGCCTGGACACCCACGCATGGGCTGCCCGCGCACGGTCGCGCCTGAGCGCCCTTTGCTCCACGCGTTGTGCCGCAATCGGAGGTTTAGTGGTGAGATCGAAGTGAAACAGCCCCCCAACCAGGAAATCGGTTTCGGTTTCGGTTTGTGTCGCGCGTGACGTGCATGCGGGCGAGGCGAAGCTGCGCGAGGGAGAAGCAGATCCTGGCCTAGTTAGGGCAGGTTGCCATCATATTGCTCCCCCCCCCTGGCGGGCGAAGGCTCCCGTGTTGTCCTGCGTTTGCCCTGTGGTTGTCCCGTGGTTGTCCAGCGGTTGTCTCGATGGTTGTCCCATGGTTGTCCATTGGTTGTCACGTGGTTGTCCCGGTCCTGTGGTTGTCCCGTGGTTGTCTGGTGGTTGTCCGGTGGTTGTGCCGCGGTTGTCCCGCGGTTGTCACCGATGGTTGTCGCATGACTAGTGCCGGTGTTGTCCCGCTGTTGACCCTTGGTTGTCTCGTGTGTGTGTGTGTGTGTGTTTCGTAGTTGCCTTGGTGTCATCCCGCGGGTGTCTTGTGGTTGTCTCGTTGTTGCTCCGTAGGTGACTTATTGTTGCTCCGTGGTTGTCCCGCGGTTGTCCCGTGGTCTGCCCCTTGCTTGCACCGTGGCTGTCTTGTAGCCATCCCGCGGTTGTCTTTTGGCTGTCTCGTGGTTGCCCCTTGGCTGTCCCGTGGCTGGCCCATGGTACCCCCGTGTCATGTGGTTGCCCTGCTGCTTGTGTGGATGGTTGTCCCGTCGTTGCTCTCGATTTGCAGACGGAGTTCGCTTCATGAGCAGAATAGAGTGGGATCGGTATACAGGTACCGATGTCCCTAGGTACGGAGATCTCGATCCCGAACCGGCGCCATCCGCAAACCGAAAGCGCATCCCCCCCCACCGCCTTATCACCCGAAGGGTGGTGCTATAGGTAGCGGCCTGCGCAAGTCAATACGGAAGGGCGCCGCTTTCTCATGCGTAAGGCTCTCTTTGTTCATCACCCAGGTGCCTGGCGCACATCGACGCGGTACTGGGAAGCCCGCTCTTTAAGGCTTACCATGAGGTGATGGGTGACAAGGCCTTTGTGAAGTACACGTGAGTGACGGGGCCCTCCCCCAAAGATGTGGAGGCGAGTCTCTCTCCATGTTTGGCTGCCGCGCTCTGGAGCTCGTCGTTCTCGCGGGCCGCGCGACCGCGCTGGGCTCGATGGCTGCATGTGGCGCTGTGGCTGTCCTGGATATACGATGGGCACCTGGGCTGCTGCACGCTGACACTGAGTCCTTGGCGCGACCCTGCCGCCAGCTGAAGGCTAGGGATCGTATTGGGCATGGCTGCGCGTGGACCCCTGTACAGAGTGGGCTTGGTGCGTTGACAGCTTGACGAAACAGCTCGCAGCTGACTGCAGCAGAAGTGCCAGCCGCACACGTATCGATTGCAGCAGTGGCAGCAGCAGTAGCAGCTGCAGCCGCATCGACTGCAACAGTAACGAATCGAGTCAGTTTAATCAGTAGTACTTCCAGCTGTAGCGTTCACAGTTGTAGCAGGAGTACCAGCAGTGACAGCGGTAGCAAAAACAGAAGCAGTATCAGTAGGAGCTGCAGTGGAAGTGGCAGCAGCAGCAGCAGCAGCAGCAGCAGCAGCAGCAGCAGCAGCAGTAGCCGCAGAAGGGTCAGCCGCATTAGCAGTCGTAATGGCACCATGACCGTTAACAACAGCAGTAGTAGCAGCGCCAGCTAGCAGCATTAGCATCAGTGGCATTTTCAGCCGTAGCAGCAACAGCAAACATCGAGACCCATTGTCCTGGTCCAGCCAGCCGGCCCAACCAGCCCAACCAACCCAACCAACCAACCAACCCAAGCAGCCCAACCGGCCACCCCCTCAACCAGCCAACCAGCCAACCCCGTCACTTGCCCGTGGAGGAGAGAGGAGGAGGAGAGAGGAGGAGGAGAGGAGGAGAGGAGGAGGAGGAGGAGGAGGAGGAGGAGGAGGAGGAGGAGGAGGAAGAGGAGGAGGAGGAGGAGCAGGAGGAGGAGGACGAGGAGGACGAGGGAGGAGGAGGAGGAGGAGGAGGAGGAGGAGGAGGAGGAGGAGCAGGAGCAGGAGGAGGAGGAAGGTGCAGGTCGATGGGGTGGCCCAGGGGGTGGTCTTCATCGACGAAGTCGGTGAAACACCATCCTCCACGGGCCCTGCGGGACGGTTTGGGGGAGGCTACGTCGCACAGGACCGTGCGGGCCACGCCAAGGGCGGTGAGTGCCCGCAAGTGTTGCACTGCCCTCATTTGATCCCAACCATCCTGTGGTGTTAGCTCTTCGTTTTGGAGAGGCAGTTCCCCGCGTTCTCCCTCATCCCGCTGCTCCCCCGCCTCCCCCTGCCATCCCAAACCCCATCCCTGCATTTACCCTCCGCGTGCCAATGCATCGGCACACCCCTCATATGTTTCGTGGCCCCATAGGAAGCTCCACCGAAGGCCTCAGTGGCAGCGCCCGCATACTATTCCATCGCCAATTCGGTGCACCCCTCACACGCTTCGTGGGCCCATAGGGAGCTCCATCTACGGCCCCAGTGGCAGCGCCAGCATGCAGTTCCACCCTCAATTTCGGCAAACCCCTCACACTGTTCGCGGCCATAAAGGGAGCTCCGCCGGATGCTCTAGGGGCAGCGCCCGCATGCGGTTCCACCCCCAATTTCGGTGCATCCCTCACACGTTTCATGGCCCCATAGGGAGCTCCACCGAGGGCCCCAATAGCAGCGCCCGCATGTGGTTTCACTTCCCATGCCACCGCGTCCCTTACACGTTTCGTGACCCTGTAGGGAGCTCTACCGAAGGCCCCAGTGGCAGCGCCCGCATGCGGTTCCACGCGCATTTCGGCAAACCCCTCACACGCTTCATGCCCCCAAAGGGAGCTCCAGCCAAGGCCCCAGGGGCAGCGCCCGCATGCTGTTCCACCCTCAATTTCGGCACACCCCTCACACGTTTCGTGGCCCCATAGGAGTCTTCACCGAAGGCCCCAGTGGCAGCGCCAGCATGCGGTTTCACCCTCCATTTCGCCGCGTTCCTTACAGGTTTCGTGGCCCTATAGGGCTATAGGGAGCTCTACCAAAGGCCCCAGAGGCCCCTGTTGCTGTTCCTCGCGATGCTCGAAGGCCCCAGTTGCAGCGCCTGCATGGCGGCCCCGCCTCATTTCGGCACACCGTTCACGCGCTTCGTTGCCCCATAAGGAGACCCACCGAAGGCGATATTCACACCCAGGGTACTCACAACTGCATATGGTTGGGTCCTCCGACGCGCTAATCAACTCGCTCCGCGCCCGCTTGCACGACGGAAAAGCTCCAATCCCTCGTAATTGTGTCTTTGGCGTCGATTCGCGTCGATTCGCGTCTGGGAGTCGATACGACAGCGCCGATGTAGTGTCGCTTAGAGTCGACTGGCGACGATTTGGCGTCGATCAGCGTCGATCTAGCTCCGATTAGCGGATTGTTCCTAGATTTGAAGGTCGTCCTTATTTGTCTTGACTTTCCTCCTTCGCTCGCGCACGCCCGCACCGAGGCGGCGGAGGACGCCATACAGGTGCTGCACAACATCTACAAGATCCGCCAGGATCCGTTGACCGGGTTGCCACCGCCTCGCCATGTGGAGGGTATAGGTCTCGGCTAGACCTACGAGTGACCTTTCGCCAGGGTGACCTTTGGTGCGGGCACAGATGGGCCCCCAGATGGCTGACAACGTGGCAGTCGCAGCTGCTTGCGCGCCCAGGTTTGGTCCCCCCGTGGCCCCCCACAAGTCGCGCACCAAAGCTCACTCTTACCCAGTGTCACTCCTGCGTGTAGCCGATAGGTCTGTCTCCAGCTCATCCTGCTCCTGGTGCTCGTCTCCTCCCTCCTCCTCCCCCTCCCCCTCTCCTCCTCGTTGTCCCCGCGCCCGAGCGCCCGAGCCGGGGCGGCCCCCGCACTAGCAACGAGGCGCTTCTGCGGAGGCGCAATGGGCTGGGGGTAGGCAGAGAGTTCAACTCGAGACGGAATGGCGCCTCCTCCACGCCCTCCTCAATCCCCCCACTACACGAGGGTCCAGTCCGATGATGGGGACCACCCGAACTCCGCCAACGAGGTCAGGGTGCCCCTCCACCAGATGGGCTTCTACAGCAAAAACACCGCGGCTGTTGCCGCCTCGCGTCGCGCCCTGAGGCTCCCTCCGTGCCTTGTCGGCGGCGCTGGGCCGCGCAGGCGCTGATGACGAGAGACGAGCGCTCCCCCCAGCTCATCGTTCGCTCCTCAATCCCCCCCCCTCGAGGACTCCGTCCCGTTTGCCCTCCCTCGAGGACAGCCTGAGGCGCAGGACGGGTGCAACGTGAAAACAAACCAGTGGCATGTCGCGATGTTTTTCGGGGGTCCTGTGCCTCCTGGTCGTATCTTGGGAGGGCCTTGCGGTCGCTGGGTGGGCCTTCTGGCGCGTCTTGGGTTGTCTTCGGGCCGTCTTCGAAAGAGCGGCGATGCCAGACTGTAATTCAGAGAATGCGCTCCTTTGCCTCCTGGTTATTGACAATCCGCTCCAGGTCGCCCTGCTGTGTTTTCTGGTCCTCCTCACTTTTGTGAGCTTCCTGGCCACTTGCTGTACGCTGTCAACCAGTGATGCGGACCGTTCAAAGTGTATCCGAGCGAAGAGGACGCCCGACCGTCCACTGCCGCCTCCGCCGCCACCGCCGTCGCCACCAACACTAACGCATCCAACTCTGCAACCAACTCCAACGTGTGCTGCCGCCCCTGGTTCCACCACCCGCGAAGGGGGAGAAACAGGAGATGCGGGGGAAATAGACGGCGGCCCCCCTGAAGCAGTGCAGCGCCATGCATTGCACGACAAGTTTTCGTACTAATCTATCTGCGAGGTGCGATAAGGGGAGGGGGTCCAGATGTGATTCGCCACCGTGGCTGGATTCTTTTGTCAGGCGTCACACTCACGCCCAGCGTCCATTCTATATCGTGGTGAGTTTCTTTTCGGTATAGACGTTGACGCCACCCCATCTGCTCCTGATGCGCTCCCGCGCAATGCTACGTGCGGGGTGCATGCAGCGCGGGCACCCATACCAGGAGGCGGCGATGCGCACTGGAGAAGGAGGAGGCGGAGGAGGAGGAGGAGGAGGAGGACGAGGAGGAGGAGCCACCCGGATGGCGCGGATCTCCGTCTCCCTGCTGGGCACCCTTGCAGAGGCTGCAGCCCCCCCAGATGGAGCTCATCACCTGCCTTGGCGCCTAAGAGCAAAACCATTTCTGACGGGATCTTGCCAGGAGGTCATAGTCGCCCGGGGACCCCTGGGGCCGCCCCGCGCGCCAACTACACATGCGTTGTGTATAGTGTGTATGTGTGACTATACATATATTTACTCACATATCTATACATACATACGTATCGATGCTTCTACATTTGTATGTATGTATGCATGCGTGCATGCATGTATGTACGTATGTCGGTATGTATATCCAAATATCTATATATATATATATATATATATATATATATATTACGATGTACGTAAAGACATCACTTACCTATTGCCAAAAACCTTCGCACGCCTATGGCCCGTTGAGCTGGCGATGTATTGATTCCTGTTTTATTCCTCCCTCCTCCCTCCTCTGTCCTCGTCATCCCTCCTCCCCTCCCCCACCTCGTCCTATTCCTCCTCCTCCTCTCCTCCTCCTCCTGTTCCTGCTCCTCCTGCTCCTCCTCCTCCTCCTCCTCCTCCCCGTTTACCTCCTCCAAATTTATTTATTCTTCTTGTCGCATCCCGAGGTTGGTCGAAAGGGCCGGCCGAGCGTTCGCTTGAGACTTACTCACCATTGATGGAGGCAGCAGCTTCACGGATTGAGGGCGGGCCGCTTCCAATGGCTCTCGCCTCAGCGCCGCGCACATTAGTTATATCAGTCTGCAGAAGCTTCACGGATTCATGGCGGGTCGTTTTCAAAATGCGGTTGTCGCTTTAGCGCCGCGCGCACTCGTGTTAACACTTTGCAAGGGTTTCATGGATCGAGGGCGAGTGGTTTTCAACATGTGGCTTTCGATTAGGCGCCGCGCAAATTCTTTTAACAATGTGCAAGAACTGCGCGGGTTGAGAGCCGGTCGTTTTCAAGATTTTGCTCTCGCCTTAGCGTCGCGCGCTCGTATCAACAATTTACAAAGGTTCGGATGTTCTTGGCTAGCGTTCCAGGAATGGTGTATTGGAACGGTTCTGGATTGTCAGGACGCAACAGTTAGTTTGTTTCGCGGTGGTGAAGCTCCAGGACTGGTGCTGTGGCGCGGTTCAGGATCGCCAATACGTAACAGTCAGGTTAACTCGTGGCGTTGAAGTCCTGAGTATAGTCTTTTAGCACGCTGCAGGACCTTCACACGGTTGTCCCCCAACGAATGAGCCTTTGTAGAAGCCTATGAAGAGGGAGCTTGGAAGGAGGGTGTATTCCAACATCGTTGGTGCGTCGAGAGTTTGCACTGGTCCTCCTCCTCCCTCTCCTCCACCTCCTCCTCCTCCCCCTCCCCCTCCGCCTCCTCCTCCTCCACCTCCCCCTCCTGCTCCTCCTCCTCCTCCTCCCCTTCTTTTTCCTCCTCCTCCTCCGCCTCCTCCCCCCTCCTCCTCCTCCTCCTCCTCCTCCTCCTCCTCCTCCTCCTCCTCCTCCTGCTCCTCTTACTCCTCCTCCTCCGCCTCCTGCTCCCTCCTCCTCCTCTTACTCCTTCTCCTCCTCCCCCTCCTCCCGCTCCTCCTCCTCCTTCTCCTCCTCCTCCTCCTCCCTCTCCTCCTCTCCTCCTTCCTCCTCCTCCTCCTCCTTCTCCTCCTCCTCCGCCTCCTCTCTCCTCCTCCTCCCTTCCTCCCTCCTCCTCCTCCTCCCTCCCCCCCTCCTCCGCCTTCCTCCTCCTCCTCCATCCACCTCCTCCTCCTCCTCCTCCTCCTCCCCCCTCCCCTCCTCCTCCTCCTCATCCTCTTCCTCCTCCTGCTCCTCCTCCTTCCTTACTCCGCGCGCGGTGGGACAGGACGCCGAGCACCCGATCCAGGTCCGGTGGGCGCCTCCGCCAGCGCCCCCCCCCCGCCCCGCTGAGGTCGGCGCGGAGGGCCCCTGCCAGGATTTGTGGGATAGCTGTCGCCCAGGTAGGGGGAACGAGGGAGGAGGGGGAGGACGAGGAGGATAAGGAGGAGGAGAGGAGGAGGAGAAGAGGAAGAGGAGAGGATGCCCTTCCTCCTCCTCCTCCTCGTCCTCCTCCTCCTCCTCCTCCTCCTCCTTCTCCTCCTCCTTATCCACCCACCTCCTCCTCCTCCTCCTCCTCCTCCTCCTCCTCCTCCTCCGTGGCTCCTCTCCGCCCTTCCCCCCTCTCGGCTCATCTGCTCCTCCCGATCCTCCTGCCGTCGTTGCTGCCCTGGCTGCTGCCGCCGCTGCTGCTGCCTCTTGCTGTCATTCTTCTCCGGCTTTCCTGGTGCTTCTCCATCGCGCTGTTCTTCTCCTCCTCTCTTTTCGTGCCTTTCCGCTTCTTGTGGCGCTCCCTCCTGCTGATGTTGCCTCTTCTTCTGGCTGCCCTTCCGCCAGGGGCCAGGCCCCTCATGGTCCCGAGCGAGGAGCAGGGGACACCTGGGGCGGGCGGCGGCGGGAGCAAGGGGAGGCCTGGATACCGTCGCTCATGCGTTTGACAGCCCCAGCGTAGCAGGCGGATGAGCCAGGAGGGGAACGACCTCCTCCCCCTCTTGCTCCTCCTCCGTCAGCTCCAACGCTTGCACCTCCTCCTCCTCTTCCTCCTTCTCCTCCTCTTTCTCCTCCTTCTCCTCCTCCAGATCTTCCCCTCCATCATCTTCACCCTCTTCCTTCTCCTCCCTTTCCTGCTCCATCATCCTCACCCTCCCTCCTCCTCCGTCCTCCCTTCTTCCTGCTCCTTCTTCCTGCTCCTTTCACCATCTGTCCCCCTGCTTCTCCTCCTCCTCCTCATTTTTGCGCGCCGCGGACTTTGAGGCTAGGCCTGTAGCGCTTCTGCTCCTCCCCCTCCTCCTCCTCCTCCTCCTCCTCCTCCTCCTCCTGCTCCTCCTCCTCCTCCTCCTCCTCCTCCTCCTCCTCCTCCTCCTCCCCATCCTCCTTCCCCCCCTCCTCCTCCTCCTCCTCCTCCTCCTCCTCCTCCTCCTCCTCCCTCCTCCTCGTCCTCCTCCTCCTCCTCCTCCGCCTCCCCTCCTTCCCCTCCCCCTCCTCCTCCTCCTCCTCCTCCTCCTCCTCCTCCTCCTCCTCCTCCTCCGCCTCCTCCCCCTCCTCCTCCCCTCTCCCCCCCTCCTCCCCCCCCTCCCCCTCTCCTCCTCCTCCTCCTCCTCCTCTTCCTCCTCCCCCTCCTCCCCCTCCTCCCCCTCCTCCTCTGGCCGGCCGGCCGGGCGCCGGCGGGCGCCCGCCGCGGGCGGAGGCGCCAAGAGCACCAGCGGCGAGGACGCCAGCGCCCGCGGGGCCGGGCGGGGCTCGCGGGGCCCCGCTGGGGGGGAGGGGGCGGAGGAGGGGAGGAGGAGAGAGGAGGAGGAGGGAGGAGGAGAGGAGGATGAGGAGGAGGAGGAGGAGGAGGAAAAGGAGGAGGAGAGGAGCAGGAAGGGAGCAGGAGAGGAGGAGGAGAGGCGGAGGAGGAGGAGGACGAGGAGGAGGAGGAGGCGGAGGCAGAGGAGGCGGAGGCGGAGGAGGAGGAGAGGGAGGTTAGTGGGCCCCGGCGACGGCAGGGCGGGGCTCGCGGGGCCCCGCTGGGGGGGGCTACCAGGATCCGAGATCCTACGCGCACACAGGATGACCACGCGGGCGCCCGAAATGCACCAGGGCGCTGCGCCCTCGCAGCGAGAACAACTCTGCCTTCGCCGCATGGGCCACGTAAAAGTGCGAGAACACAAGCTCGGGAATCTACAGCCTAAGATCGGGAAGTGGCCAAAGCGGCGAAAGGGAATACGATGTCGGCAGACGGAGATACTTACCTAGACTGTGTCGGGCCCTTAGTGGGCTTCGGAAACGGCAGGGCCGTTTTTTCACCGTTTCCGAAAAAGTGTCCCTTGAAAATGGAAACGGCAAGAAAACGGCGACCGGAGACGGCAACAAAGGCAGCTCCAGGATTGGAACCGGAGCGGTAACCCGTAAAAGAACGGCCGGCGTCGGAACTGGCAACAAAAACGGCAAAACGGAACCGGTAAAAAAACGGCCCTGTCGTTTCCAGGGCCCACTAAGGGATGGGGGAGGACGACCCCGGCTCAAGCAGTGGCAAAGCGTCCTGGCGCGCCTATAGTCCCACCAAGCGTGGTGCCCACGAGATGTTCTGAGAGCATTTCTGGTCGGGACTGTCCTGCTTGATCACATCGGGTTTATGTTCTAAGAACAGTGTTTTTGTTCTTCGAACATGTTGGGTTCTAAGAACGCTTCGTGGTAGGACTATAGGAATGCCGGGACGGCCGGCCCCTGTTCAGCAGACGTGATCGCATCGTAAGAAAGCAGGACGGCAGGTTTGTGGCCAGTTTCGGCCCCGGGGAGCCCTTGCCTGGCCTCGGGGCCGTCAACAAAACGACTCAGGACGCAGAACCGGTTCCGGGTCAAGGGTCGGGATTTCCAGGGACGCCGTCCTGACCAAGATCAGGACGTCGCATGTGCTGTGAAAATCACGGCGGGGCGCTTTTCCCGGTGGGCTCCGGCCCACGCTTGTCCGGGGGAGCGGGGAGGAGGACGAGGGACGAGGCCTACAGGCATGCTCGCGTGCTGTGAAGATCACGGCGGGGCGTTTTGTTTTCTGGTGGGCTCCGGCCCGCGAGTGTCCGGGGGAGGGGGGAGGACGAAGGGCGAGGCCTATAGGCATGCTCGCGTGCTGTGAAAATCACGGCGGGGCGTTTTTCACTGCGGGCTCCGGCCCGCGATTGTCTTGGTGTTGGCTGGCTTTTTTGGCCCTGTGTTATAAGGGTGCCGGGCAGCCGGCGTCGGAATCTGACGCGTGAGAATACGCGTGGCGGCACGTGTTTTTATGTCGGGCCTGTCCCTCTTACAGGAGGAATCTTCAAAAATAGTGAAAAATAGTCTGGGGACGATCTTTTGACTATTCTTGCCCATTTGGGGGGCATTTTTCGAGTACCGTTCATTTTCCGCTCAGAATCCCTCTGTAGGGGGGCACGCCCGACCTAAACGTGTTTTTGGATTGCGGAGAGCCTTGCGCGTAGGAGTGCATGTGCGGAGGGGGGGCCCAGCATGCGCCTGGCGCGTGCGCGCGGGGGCCTTGTGTTTTTCGCGCGTCCGCGGGGCGGGCCCAACGTCCAGTCGTCGGATCCTTCTGCGCGTGCAAGTCTGTGCGTGGAGGGGAGGCCCGGCCCTGGCGCGTGCGCGCGGGCCACGCGTTAGCACGTGTCCGACGTCCCCAGGAGGGGGGGCACCTTTTTCGTCGGCGAATCCTTGACACGCGAAGCTGCATGTGCGGAGGGGGCGGTCCCCAGATACTACTCGCGCGTGCGCGCGCGGCACATGTTCTCACGTGTCCACGGCCTCCTAGGGGGGGGGGGATACGATTTCCAGTCGGCGGATCGTTTACGTGTGAAGCTACGTGCGCGGAGGGGGGGGGGGGGAGCCAACACGCGCCTGGCGCGTGCGCGCGCGGGGCGTCAGGACCCACAGTTCTCTCTGTGTCGGTGGGCCTTTGACCCTGTACCAGAAGGGTGTCGAGCAGCCTGCGTCGGGATTCGAAGCCAAAGTGTATGCGCATGCAGAGGGGGGGGGACTCTGACATGAGCCTCAGCGTGCATGCGCAGTCGGCACGTGTGTTCACACGTTTTTCCCCACGACGCCCCCCCCCCTCCCAGGGCGGGGGACCCAGGGCGTCGGAGTGCTGGGTCCGCGTTGCCTCCCCGGGGCGGGGGTGCGGGATGCCTCGGGCGGGGAGGGGGGCCCCCTCCTCCTCCTCCTCCTCCTCCTCCTCCTTCTCCTCCTCCTCCTCCTCCTCCTCCTCCTCCTCCCAGGGCGGGGGACCAAATTTCTTTGCGCGTCAAAAGTGCGGAGGGGGGGACCCAGCGTGCGCCGGGCGCGTGCGCGCGGGGCACGTGTGCTTTCACGCGTCCCCACGGCCCCCACGGGGGCGGAACCCAAAGTCCAGGCGTCGGAATCTGCTGCGCAAAAACACTTGTGCTTGGCATCGCTCAGACGTGTGCATTTTTCCTTCGGCGAGGACCATCGAGGAGCATCCTTGATCATTGGGCGAAAAAACCACGCACGAAACCAGTAAAAGCACAGGGAATGGACGTCCGAGCGATGGCGAGTGTGCGGAGTCGGACTATCCACCATGTGCCTGACGCGTGCGCGCCGGGCACGCGTTTTCAGGCATCCACGGTCCCCTGGGGGGGACCCGAGTTGTAGTCGGCGGATTCTTCACACCTAGTAAAGCGTGCGCGGAGGGGTAGGGTCTCACATGCGCTTGGCGCGCGCGCGGGCAATGAAGGGCTCCGGCCAGGATTCTCTTTGTGTTGGCGGGCCCTTGGCTCTGCACCAGTAGGCCCCAGGGAGGGACCCGATTTCTCGTCGGCGGATTCTTCACACGTGTGCGGAAGGGGGGACCCAACGTGCGCCACGCGCGGGGCTCGTGTTTTCACGTGTCCACGGCCCCCAGGGGGGATCCAATTTCTAGTCGGCGACTTCTTCACACGCTCCAGTGGGTGCCCGGAGGGGGAGACCCAGCATGCGCCTGGCGCGTGCGCGCGGGACGCGTGTTTTCACGTGTCCACGGCCCCTCAGGGGGGGACCCAATGTTTAGTCGCCGGATTCCCCGCACGTGAAAAAAGTGCGCGGAGGGGGGGGACCTAACACGCGCCTGGCGCGTGCGCGCGGGGCGTGTGTTTTCACGTGTCCACGTCCCCTCAGGGGGGGACCCAATTTCTAGTCGTCGGATTCTATGCACGTGAGAAATCGTGCGCGGGGGGGGTCCCAGGGAGCGCTCTGCGCCTCCCTCCTCCTCCTCCTCCTCCTCCTCCTCCTCCTCCTCCGCCTCCTCCTCCTCCTCCTCCTCCTCCTCCTCCTCTCCTCCTCCCTCCTTCTCCCCGCTCCTCCTCCTCCTCCTCCTCCTCCTCCTCCTCCTCCTCCTCCTCCTCCTCCTCCTCCCTCCTCCCTCCTCCTCCTCGTCCTCCTCCCTCCTCCTCCTCCTCGTCCTCCTCGTCTCCTCCTCCTCGTCCTCCTCGTCCTCCTCCTCCTCCTCCTCCTCTCCCTCCTCCTCCTCCTCCTCGCGAGGAGGAGGACCTCCCCCCCCCTGGGTGCCTTCCTGGCAGGACCCCTCCCCCTCCCTCCCTCCCTCCTCCCTCCCTCCCTCCTCCCTCCTCCCTCCCATCCCTCCCTCCCTCCCCTCCCTCCCTCCCTCCCTCCCTCCCTCCCTCCTCCTCCTCTCCTCCTCTCCTCCTCCTCCTCCTCCTCCTCCTCCTCATCCTCCTCCTCCTCCGCTCCTCCTCCTCCTCCTCCTCCTCCGCCCTTCTCCTCCTCCGCCCTCCTCCTCCCCTCCTCCTCCTCCTCCTCCTCCTCGTCCTCCTCCTCCTCCTCCTCCTCCTCCTCCTCCTGCTCGAGGGGCCGTGGTGCTCCTCCAGCCGCTTCGCCGCTCGCCACGGGCGCTCCCGCAGCGCGGGCGAGGGCTCGCCAGACCAGGCGCGGAGGAGGGCGCGGTCCTCCGCGCGGCGCGAGCGCGCCCCGTCGTGCGCCGCCGCCTCTCGCGACGGCGGCGCCGTGGGCGCTGGTCCCGGCGCGCGACGGGGGGGATGGGGCACTCCCGCGCCTGCCAGGAAGGCACCCAGGGGGGGAGGGTCCTCCTCCTCCGCGAGGAGGAGGAGGAGGAGGAGGAGGAGGAGGAGGAGGAGGAGGAGGAGGAGGAGGAGGAGGAGGAAGGAGGAGGAGACGAGGAGGAGGAGGAGAGGAGGAGGAGGAGGAGGAGGAGGAGGAGCGGAGGAGGAGGAGGAGGAGGAGGAGGAGGAGGAGGAGAGGAGGAGGACGAGGAGGAGGAGGAGGAGAGGAATGGGAGGAGGAGAGAGAGGAGGAGGAGGAGGAGGAGGAGGAGGAGGAGGAGGAGGAGGAAGGGGAGGAGGAATGGGAGGAGGAGAATGATGATGATGATGAGGAGGAGGAGGAGGTGGAGGAGGAGGAGGAGGTGGAGGATGATGATGAGGAGGAGGAGGAGGAGGGTATGCAGTGTGCAGTGTGCAGTACGGCTTTGCCCAGTCTCGAGGTACATCGCATCGCAATTCGCTCGGGGTGCCCCCCTGTGTAGCGCCGATGCCAGACGCTGTGGGCGTCATTGTCCCTCGCGGGCCTGTGTGCCCGCGGAGTTCCTCCTCGGCCCTGCTCGCCTTCGTCGCTGTCGACTCCTTACCTTCTTTTTGGTTCATCCCGTGCTTGGCAGAACGTCCAAGACGTATTCCTCCTCCGCCCCCTCCTGCTCGTCCTCCTTCCCCTCCTCCTCTTCATATCTTCCAGGATAGAGGGCAGCTCCTTTTCAAACTGTGGCTCTCGCTTCAGCGCCACGCACGTTCGCCCTGACAGCTTGCAACCGTCTCAACAAATCGGATGTTTGAAGTCTCGGGAATGCTGTTCTGGCTCAGTTTACCGTTGACAAGACGCAGGAGTCTCGTTGGTTCGCGGTGTAGACGTCCCAGGGACGATGCTCCAGCACGGTTTAGGACAGTCTGGACGCACGAGTCACGTTGAATTCGCGGCGTTGAAGACACAGGAATGATGATTTGGCACGATCGAGGATTCACAGACTGTTGTCTTCCAGAGGGGCATTCCCCGCAATGAACGTGGGAGCTGGGGGGGATGGTCTATTGCAACATCATTTACGCAGTTGAGTGGCACTGGTCCTCCTCCTCCTCCTCCTCCTCCTCATTCGCTATTTCTTTTCGGCGACGCTATGCCCCATCCGCCGTCCATTCCCTCCCTCCTTCCCTTCCCTCCCGGACCGTCCTTCCGCCTCATTAATCTCCTCCATTTCTTCTTGTGCCTCATCATCACCATTCTGGTCATGCTAGTCTTCCCAGTCCTCACCCACCTCGCTCTCCCTTCCCATTCCCCCCCTCCCCCTTCCCCCCCTTCTCACCGCCCTTCACCATACCTCCCTCCCCCACTCTCCCTCATCTGTCCCGTTGCTGCCCTCGTTTTCGTGCTTGCGCTCGTGCTCGTGCTCGTTGTCGCGTTTTCGGTATTTCGTTCACGTTTTGTCGTCTATGTTTGCGGTGTTTTGGGGTTCTGGCTCCTCTTCCTCTTCCTCGGGCTCGGGCTGGTGGCATTATCTTTCTCCAAAGGACGCAGCCATCCCCCCCAGCGGCAATTGCCGCTGTGGTGGGGAGGGTGATCAAACTAATGGAGTTGTACTGGAACCTCTTCCTCTTGCTTCTCCTCCTCCTCCTCCTCCTCCTCCTCCTCAGCTCCCCATGTACCCCCCTCCTCCTCCTCCTCCTCCTCCTCCTCCTCCTCCTCCTCCTCCTCCTCCTCCTCCTCCTCCTCCTCCTCCTCCTCCTCCTCCTCCTCCTCCTATGTACGAAGCTCCACCTTTCTGAATGCGTATGGCATGATGGGGTCTTTACTGGAGTTCCAGGTCGGCTATGACACGCGTCAGCGGATATAGAACATATCAGCGCCATGGGAAGGGACGGAAGGCCAGGAACGCATGTCATTCATGGCGCGAGCGCACCTCCACAGACATCTGGCTGCTCCAATTTTTCGATGCGTGGGCCCTGGAGGTCTGGACCACTTCCCTAGGGCCGGTTTTCGTCCCGAGTCGTTTCTTGATGGGCGAGGGCCTGTGGAGGAGGCCAAGAAATTGCCAGAAACCCACCGCCCCATCTTTTATTGGAGCGTCCGATCTCTGGGTGGCTTGCCCTTTCTCGGCGGCGAGCGAGGGGTGGAAGTGAGAAGGAGAAGGCCTTCTCAGAATGCTCCGAATTCCCCAGGCCTTCTGAGAAGTGCTCGAGTCCTTCCCCGGAGACACAACACTTGTCAGAAGGCGCGAGGGCTCCTGAGGAGCCCCCGCCGCCTTCGGAGAAGGCCTCCTCCTTCTCACTCCCCCCCCTCGCTCGCCGCCGACTTCCTCCCCTTCGCCCCCCTCAGGAGGAGGAGGAGGAGGATGGGTGGGGAGGAGGAGGATGGAGGAGGCGGAAGAGGAGGAGAAGCAGGAGGGGGGGGGGAGGGGGAGGAGGAGGAGGAGGCGGAGTGGGCGGGGGGGCACGGCGCGCGGGCGCCCGCCCGCGAGGGGGGGGGCCTCGGAGGGCGGGCGCGGAAGCCCCCCCCCTGCCGCCCCCCCCTTGGCCGGCGCGCCAGGACCGCGGCCAGGGCGACAGCGGGTGGGGCGGCAGAGGCGCGCGCGGCTGGAGCCCCTTCGCGCGCCGCGCGCGGGGCGCGGCCCGGAGCGCCCGGAGACCGAGAGGTCGGAGCGCCTCGCGGGGGATGGCTCGCAGAGGACGGCCCACCTTCGCAGGCCTAGAGGTTGACACCACCACCAACATCGGCGGTGTGCCTCCACCGCGGGAAGAAGGTTCTGGTCTAGGTGATGGTGGTAATGTTCTGGCTTTCAAGGGAACCGACATATTACCACCAACACCGCAACCTAGGATCATCTTCCCCCTATGGAGGCACCCCAATTTCCAGGCCTCCAACACCTTCCTGGACCCCCCTCTCGCGTCGTGAAGAAGAAAGGATCACGGCGGGAGGTGCCTCGCCATCTTCGGCCTCCGGGGGGCCCTTCCCGGGCCTCGGGGCCGTCCAAGAGCGGCTCGGGAGGGGAAGGGGTCCAGACCTCTGGGGGTCGACGTCGTGAAAGCCTTGCGACGTCGGGGGTCTGGGAACCTCGCAGGGGGATGATTCGCAGAGCACGGCCAACCCTACTGCAGAAGAGGCGGGGGGCGGACGCAGAGGCGAAGCGCTTCGCCTCCGCGTGACAAGAGAGGAAGCAGAGGTCTTGTTACCGTTGGTCTTCTGGCAAGCGGTACTGGTGTATGTTTGTTGGCCTCGTAGAAGCACCCCGCAGGACACCCCGCGCGCCGGATGTGCGCGCAGGAGGAGGAGGCGCGCCGGATGTGCGCGCGAGGAGGAGGAGGAGGAGGAGGAGGAGGAGGAGGAGGAGGAGGAGGAGGAGGAGGAGGAGGAGGAGGAGGAGGGGGGGGGAGGAGGAGAGGAGGAGGAGGAGAGGAGGAGGAGGAGGAGGAGGAGGAGGAGGAGGAGGAGGAGGAGGAGGAGAGGAGGAGGAGGAAGAGGAGGAGGAGGAGGAGGAGGAGGAGGAGGAGGAGAGGGAGGAGGAGGAGGAGGAGAGGAGGAGGAGGAGGAGGAGGAGGAGTAGGAGGAGGAGGAGGAGGAGGAGGAGGAGAGGAGGAGGAGGAGGAGGAGGGAGGAGGAGGAGGAGGAGGAGGAGGCAGGAGGAGGAGGAGGAGGAGGAGGAGGGGGAGGGGGAGGAGGAGGACGAGGAGGAGGAGGAGGAGGAGGACGAGTAGGAGGAGAAGAAGCACGAGGAGCAGGAGGAGCAGGGCATCTCGATGGCCCCTCTCCCACCACCCTTGGGCGCGCCCGCAGGCGGCGACAAGGGCGAGGACTGGCGGCGCCGCTGTCCGATGCGGTACAGTGGAGACCCATGCCAAGAAACACCCTGCTTGCCTCCAGAGTGCCCTGGGTTTCTTGGGTTTCGATGGTTTTGCTTTGGAAAGGTTGACGATCCCAGACAATCATTGAAGGTCCTGGGATCTCAAGGTTGTGCTTATTGTGGAAGGTTTCTTGTGGATTGGCCTCCACTGGTTAGAGGACGTGAAGACGTGTTGTAGTGGGAAGATGCGGTTCTCTCTCTCTCTCTCTCTTTCTCCCTCTTTTCCTCTCTCGCCCTCTCTCCCTCTTTCCCTCCCTCTCCCTCTCTTGCACACTCTTGTCTTTCCTGGTTGCCACCTGTTTTCTCAGGCTCGTGGCCTTCAGAGGACTCCGCTTCGGTAGAGCGTATCATCATCACTGTCACTATCATCTCCATCACCATCACCATCACCACCATTGTCATCCTTATCGTCATCCTTATCATAATCCTTACCATCATCATCACCATCATCATCATCATCATCAGCATCATCATCATCATCATCATCATCATCATCGTCGTCATCATCATAATCACCATCACGATCGCCATCAACATCACCATCACCACCATCATCATCATCACCATCATCATCAGCCGCATCCTCAGCATCATCATCATCATCAGCATCATCATCATCATCATCATCATCATCATCATCATCTTCAGCGTTATCATCACAACAGTCAGCAGCAACACCATCATCATCGCCTTCACCACCATCACCAACATCGCCATACTCATGACCAGCATCATCCTCATAACCATCATAATAGTGACAAGTTTAGTGTGTCACGTGCTGGAGGAAGGGAGAGTGGCCGCATATCCGCTGAAATTGTGCTCAAGCTTTTGAGGGGCACATGCCGCCGCCGCTCGATTTCTCACAGCACTCTGGCGGGGCGCCCTGTTTGCCCTGGTGATCTGCTCCGTGGCTGCTGGGCTCTCCGCGGCCTGTCCTGCCAGTACTTGCGAGTGCTCGTCGTCCTACAGTCTCTCGTGTCCCAGCATCGACGGCTCCAACGCGATCCAGACGGTGGCGCCTGGGGTCAGGCATTGCCTCGCCCGCCTCTTCGGCCCAAGCGTCAGGACCGAGTGGAGGGCTGCCTCGCCGCGCTCGAATGCCGAGGTGATCCGCGCGCTGGCAACGCAGCAGGCAGGGGCCGCCATCCAGCATTGCAGCTGCCAGGTGCGGTGAACGCCATTCGGTCTCGCGCCGCTGGGCCCGCAGTGTACCGCGAACGCATCACGCTTCTCGTGGTGGCACTGGCACCTGCCCAGGTCCTCACTGTCGACGGGGATGCTCATAAGGGGACCACGGGGGCGGACGCCGTTGCCTGGAGATCCGTCTCATGCTGTGTCCAGGGGCTCCGCTCGTCGGCATCGCCGAGGCGCCCCGAGTGCTGGGGCCGCGTGGGGACACCTCCGCCACACCGTGGGCCTCATCGGCGTGACGGTGCCGCCCACGCCCTTCGCCTTGGCAGGAAGCGTGGGCGCGGGCGGGGGCAGTGCTGATCAGCCCATCGTGCTGGCCTGCCCCGACCCCGCCGTCGCGGTCGCGTCCGCGCCCGCGCCTGGTGCGGGCGCCACTTGCGTTGGGGCTACGCCCGCCGGCGAGGACTTGGAGGCGCCGCCGCCCCCGGGGCCACCCTCGGGTTGGCGCCGCCCCCAGCGGCGCCCGTCGGTGCTGGAACGGCCGTCCCCCTGGTGGCGGCGGCGCCGCCCGCTGGGCCCGGCGCGGGGGCGCCAGATCGGCGCGTGCCTGGGCGGGGGTGCCACGCTGCGGGTCCGAGGTCGCTGCGCTTCACGACCGGTGCTGTGCAGGCGAGCTTGGCGCCGCTGGCCGATTGGCTGATCAAGGGGCCGCGTGCGACACTGTGGTGCCTGGATCGCATGCGGGGGAGCGCTGGTGGACCGCTGGCGTGGCACTCCGAGTGGAAGTCAGAGGATCGGTTGCAGACCTCCGACGCCGTCTGCCCACAGCACGGGTGGAGTTGTGGGTTGCTCGAGCTGGGGTGCTGCTGCGACCAGGTCAACGGCACCGAGGTCTCGGCTCGTGAGCTGGGCTGTGGTCGGGTCCAGATCATTGAGGAGAGGCACTATGAGGACATCAACACCGCACTGGCCGTGGCGGAGGACGCGAAGCCGGGTAAGGACGAGAAGGCGCGGCGGTGAGTGACGCGCTGCTGGCGGCGGACGCGGACCACCACAGGGGCGCGTCGGCGGGCAAGGGGAACTTGTGCTTCGCCCCCGCGCTCACCGAGTTAACCGCGGACCCGCTGAAGACAGAGTCCACCATCGCGGAGGAAAGGCGCAGGGCCCGCGGGCAGCGGGCGGTGCGCGCGTAGTCCTGAGAAAACGTCTCCCAGGCGGGTGCAGGTACATTCGTGCCGTCCGGGCGATCTCCTGCGTTTTCGCGGCGGCTTCGGTCATCACCATGTTTGACAAGCTGATGGGGCCTGACGCTCGGCAGCGTGACGTGTTCCCCCTGTCGCCCTCGGCGGTGGATGCTCGTGCCAAAGCCTGCCTGGGCCGACGGGGGCGCCAGCGCGCCCGTCGCGGGATTGCGTGGCGGCGATGGGCCAACGACGGCATCGCTGCCCTGAACCAGCTGAGCGGCCACTCTCCATCGCTTTCGGCGCCTCCTGGGTTGACGGCTTCGGCGGCGCAGGCGAGCGCGATGGAGCGCATTGCGCACGCTTCTCGGCGATTTCTTCTTCCTCCCGAATATCGAGAGAATCCCTCTTCTGGCGAAGCGGCCTTGACAAAGCTGTTCGCGTCGGCGCCCGGGTATTCAACGGACTCCCAGCGCGCCAAGCCCTGCAACGCGGACCTGGCGGCCTGGCCCCTCTCGGCGCCGCTGGAAGTCGCTGGCCTCGTCGACCAGGCCGAGCAATATTGTTTGTCGGGATGGAGACGGACCGCGCTCGAGGTTGAGACGTCTGCTTCGAGCCCGAGGTCGGCTTCGGCGCCGCGGCGCCCATGCGTCGACCCGACTTTGGCCAGCAGCCCCAGAGCCCACGCGGGTGCCGTGGGGTAGTTGTTCGATGGCGGCTTGATCATTTTCCGCTCCGCGCGGGCGGGTGATCATTATAGCTTGGATTTCTCTTTGCCGAGGAGGCTGGCAAGGGCGCGCTCAGGCTCGTCTTCGACACTCGGGCGGCGAATTGGGAGTTCGAGGCGCCGCCCAAGGCCGCGCTGCCGACGCCGGTTGCGCTGCCGACGCCGGTTGCCGACGCCGACCCTGGAGACCGATGGCCCCGCGGTGGTGGCCCAGGGCGACGTTCAGGGCACTCTTTACTGCGCCCTCGTTCCAAGGGCATGGGGGGGTATTTCGCGCCCCCCCCGCCATCTCCAACCGCCTCTTGAATGTCGAGGAGGTGGGCGGGGTGCCGTTGCCCATCGACTGCGCGCTGCAGCCCGTGGTCCGCGTTCATCGTATACTGCGGGGAGCTCTCACGCACAACGGTCTCGGCGTCGGCGGCCCAATCGAGGGCGGGCGCCCTAGCCTTGTGCTCCGCGCGCGTGAGGGCGCGGCAGCGGCTGGCTACGTTGACGGCCTCGCTATCGTCGGCAGAGACTCGGCCGCGGTCGCGGCCGAGAAGGGCCAGGTCCAGCGCGCGTTGGAGCAGCGGGGGCGCCACGTCCACTCGCCCGGCGAGGCTTCCGCCGCCCCCATCTTCACGGGCCTCGAGATCAACGGTGGCCTCGGGGCTGCGACGGCGAAGCTTGCCGTCGTAATGGGGCTT